CAAACATGTACCAGACATGTACCAAACATTTATCAAACATGTACCAGACATGTAACAAACATGTACCAAACATGTACCAGACATGTAACGGACATGTACCAAACATGTACCAGACATGTAACAGGCATGTACCAGACATGTAACCTACATTTACCAAACATGTACCAGACATGTACCAGACATGTACCAAACATGTAACCTACATGTAACAAACATGTAACAGACATGTACCAAACATTTATCAAACATGTACCAGACATGTAACAAACATGTACCAAACATGTACCAGACATGTACCAGACATGTAACGGACATGTACCAAATATGTAACAGACATGTAACAGACATGTACCAGACATGTAACCTACATGTAACAAACATGTAACAGACATGTACCAGACGTGTACCAAACATGTACCAGACATGTAATAGACATGTACCAGACATGTAACCTACATGTAACAAACATGTACCAGACATGTACCAAGCATTTATCAAACATGTACCAGACATGTAACAAACATGTACCAGACATGTAAAAGACATGTAACCTACATGTAACAAACATGTACCAAATATGTAACAGACATGTACCAGACATGGAAAAGGCATGTATCAGACATGGAAAAGACATGTACCAAACATGAAACAGACATGTACGAGACATGTAACAGACATGGAAAAGGCATGAACCAGACATGTAACAGACATGTACCTGACATGTACCAAACATGTACCAAACATGTACCAGACATGTAACAAACATGTACCAGACATGTAACAAACATGTAACCTACATGTACCAAACATGTACCAGGCATGTAACAAACATGTAACCTGCATGTAACAAACATGTAACCTACATGTACCAAACANCATGTAACAAACATGTAACCTACATGTACCAAACATGTAACAGAAATGTACCAAACATGTACCAGGCATGTACCAGACATGTAACAGACATGTACCAAACATGTACCATGCATGTAATAAACATGTAACCTACATGTACCAAACATGTCACAGACATGTACCAAACATGTAACCCACATGTAACCTACATGTAACAAACATGTACCAAACATGTACCAAACATTTATCAAACATGTACCAGACATGTAACCTACATGTATCAAACATGTACCATACATCTATCGTACATGCATGGTGTACATATACCAGACATGTACCAGACATGTACCAAACATGTACCATACATGTATGGTACATATTTGGTACTTGTTTGTTACATGTTTTTCACATGTCTGGTACATGTCTGGTACATGTCTGGTACGTTTATTACATGTTTGTTACAAGTATGTTTAATGTTTGTTACATACATGGTACATGTACAAAACATGTACCATACATATATGGTACATGTTTGTTACATGTCTGGTACATGTTTTGTACATGTAGGTTATATGTTTGTTACATGTCTGGTGCATGCCTGGTACATGTTTGTTACATGTCTGGTACACGTTTTGTACATATATGTTATATCTTTGTTACATGTATGGTACATGTACCGTTTAACCAAAAGTAAATTCAACTACAGTACCACTGTTCAACCCATAGAGGGCAGCACTAAGAGTTTTAGACCAAATACTGCAGAATTAAACACACATCTTAGCTTGCCCCTTGCCTCTCTACAACGCTCCTCTTGATTCTAARCTCCCTCTCTTCTCTGTCTGGGATTTCTCCCATAGACCTGGATTTCTCTGGTAGAGAGAAGGAGTTGTGAARGATGACGTTGATTTTCTGCACTGTTTCAGTCAGCCTGTAGTTTTGCAGTAGCATCAGAGGAAGTGAATGAAGCCAGTCTGTTGACAAGGCTTCTAAATTAAATTAAATTTGTCTCACAAAGCCTGCAGCATCATTTACAGCCTTCTGGTTCAGCTCAGTACTTCTCTCCTCTCAGTGGGGGTTGGTTGTTTACAGCACATGTAATTTCCAGTTAGCTTGTTAGCTTAGCTTCCTCCACGGTGGAGCTAGTGTACTACATTCGTCATGACCAAACTTTAGTGATCAGCTACAAATTAAGACAAACATTTTAAAATTTGCAGAGTATTATGAAGATAATGCCCTCGAAGCACCGTTTAGACCGTTTATCTACAAAAAGTTGGTTTGAACATTTATTCTAGTTCAGAACACTTCCTCCAGTTTTGTCTCCTTTTTTGTGTTTCTTCTTCTAATGTTTAAACTAAGATTTAAAGTTCAGATATTTTTTAACTGACTTTAAAAATTTTGGTAAATAAGATGAGACCAGAGCTGTGACTAATCTGTTAAAACTTTCTAATATTTTAGACCTTCTGACACCAAAACATGGGCCTGCATCAACTGAAACATCCATCACTACCAGCCAGAACATAGAGGACCCGGAGGAACCAGAACCTCCAGAAGAAGAACCAGAACCTTCAGAAGAAGAACCAGAACCTCCAGAGATGAAAGAGGAAGAGGAGGAACTCTGTATCAGTCCGGGTGATGAGCAGGTTGTTCTGAAGATGGAGGCTGAGACCTTCATGGTGACTGCTGACTTGGAGAAAAGAGTCCACTGGGAACCAGGACCAACCAGGGACCGAGTCCTCTCTCAGAACTCTCCTAAAGCTGAGAACCAGGACCAGGTAGGAAGCAGAACTCTAGACCTAGGATCCTACAGAGAAGAGGAGTCAGWACAAAACAAGACAAGTCACAGAGGTGAGAGTCTTCACAGGTGGTCTGAGGTCTGGCTCAGGCAGATGTGGTCTGACCCAACGTTTCCTGTGTCCACTAACATCTTCTTCTCTTCTCTGTCCAGAACTTCCACAGCACTGTGTCCTGAAGAAGGAGGAGGTTCTCCCTGAGCAACAGCTGAGGAACCAGGAGAGGAACTCCAGTCTGGACCAGGAAGGTCCACAAACACCAGCAGGTCATGAACAACCAGAGACAACAGAAGCCCTGCAGGAGCCAAAACATGTTCAGATTAAAGAGGAGCAGGAGGAACCAGAACCTCCACAGGAGGAACCAGAACCTCCACAGACTAAAGAGGAAGAGGAGGATCTCTGCATCAGTCAGGCTGAAGACCAGCAGGTTCTGAAGATGGAGGCTGAGACCTTCATGGTGACTGTTGACTTTGAGGAAAGAGACCAGTGGGAACCAGAACCAAACAGGG